CAAGAAAAAACAGAAAGTTTATTAAAGAGCATTATTTACATATATTTACAATAGAATTTTATGCTACACTATACAAAACTGTTAAAGAATATATGGCATGGTATTACACACAAAAAACATCTATAGCTCTAAAATCGGGGAAAAGACGACGCTAAAAGCTACTCGCAGATCTGAGAAGGAGTTTGTATATATCTATGTATCTTTTAAAATTTTCTTTTATTAATATATCAAGAAATCTAAAACCACAACTGACTAAACAACAAAATAAAAAATGAAATTACGTTTTCATTGAAGTCATGGAATATCTAAAAAGAAATGTATATATTCATTTGGGCAAGAAACATATTCATATTTTTTTTAACCGTCACTCCTTCCCAAAACGCTGAGGTCCGCTCGCCAAGTCTTCGGAAATCAAATACAACCTTCAGAATATTCGAAACATAAAAATGATCCAAAAAAAGGTGTACACACGCACACACTACACACAGCACATACTTACACAAACGGATGAATGTCATACGTCACGTAAACTTAAGTTATTCATGAAATAATAGAAACTGGATGATTCACAGAGACACTGAAACACGAGCCTGATCTAGAAGCTTGAAGCATGGCCGTCGCTAAAGTGACGCTATTTCACTATCACCTCGTCTTTTGTTCTCGCCTTTTTTTTACAAATATATCTATTTTTGATTTCAGAATTGTTTTATCCAGCAGGTTTATCAATTTTCGGCAGATTTCTATTCCTTACACTTATTGGATTACAAATATGTAACCTGGAAATAAAGATCATCAAAGGTCGCACCCTTCTTGTGACCGGAATCATGTATTATTATTTACGTTTTTTTTTTTTCTTTTTTCCCAGGAGCCCAAGTTTTCTGACCCACCCTGTAGCAACGCCCTGTAATAGCTGTTCCTGGAACAATTCTTTTTTTCTTTCTTGTTCCTCTGTATCGCTGGATCATCATAGTTGTCCGAAAAAGCGTCAGCAAATCTGGAAATATAAAACAATAATTAATAATGATGTACAGAATATAATGTATATATATAGTGTGTGAGTAAGTGAGTGAGTGAGTGTGAGTGTGAGTGTGAGTGTGTGTGTGTGTGTGTGTGTGTGTGTGTGTGTGTGTGTGTGTGTGTGTGTGTGTGTGTGTGTGTGTGTGTGTGTGTGTGTGTGTGTGTGTGTGGTGTGTGTGTATAATTGGGAGCTAGAATAATAATCATTAAATAAAACAAAACTTCTTAGACTGAAAAAAATCGAAGCGAAAATAGAATAAACACAAATAAAACAAAAAAGAGAGACCTTATCTTTCTGTCTCCATGTCTTTCCATTCTTCACCCCATTCTTCAACAATATATAATTAATGCCAGTATATATTTAGCTAGATACTGAGTATATATAAAAAGATACTCGTCAGTATTGTTTCAGTTTACCAAGCATATTACATCACTGTTAAAACAATGGACTTTTAACCTTATTGTCTAAAACAGGCACATAACAGACATATAACCTGCTTGCTACTTAATGAAAAATACATTTGACGAAATTAGGGAACTGTAAACTTAATAATCACACAGTTGGTTATATTATCTTCATTACTCTTTGGATATTCTTCATCATCCTTCTCTGTAGCGTTTACGAAAATAACAGAGAGAGAGAGGAAGGGAGGGAGGGAAGGAGAGGGAGAGGAGAGGGAGGGAGGGAGGGAGGGAGAGGGAGGGGGAGAGGGAGAGAGGAGAGAGGGAGAGAAGGGGAGGGAAAAGGAGAGAGAGGAGGGAGGGAGGGAAGGAGAGAGAGAGGGAGAAGAGAGAGAGAGAGAGAGAGAGAGAGGAGAAGAGAGAGAGAGAGAGAGAGAGAGAGAGAGAGAGAGAGAGAGAGAGAGGAGAGGGAGGAGGGAGGGAGGGAGGGAGGGGAGAGAGGGAGGAGAGAGGAGAGGGAGAGAGGTAGAGAGGAGAGAGGAGAGAGAGAGAGAGAGAGAGAGAGAGAGAGAGAGAGAGAGAGAGAGAGAGAGAGAGAGAGAGAGAGAGAGAGAGAGAGAGAGAGAGAGAGAGAGAGAGAAGCGATATATATATATATATATATATATATATATATATATATATATATATATATATTATATATATATATATATATATATATATATATATATATATATATATATACATATATATATATATATATATATATATATATATATATATATACTATATATATATATATATATATATATATATATATATATATATATATATATATATATATATATATATATATATATATATATATAATATATTATATATATATATATAATATATATATATATATATATATATATATTATATATATATATATATATATATATTGAGAGAGGGGGGGAGGGAGAGGGGACGGAGAGGGAAGGGAAAAGGGACTAATAGTGAGAAAGAGAGAGAGACAGACAGGAGAGATCTAGGGAAGTAGAAAGAAACGGACCACATTTTTTTCCACAATCACGGGCTGTGCGAAAATTCCTCGGGTGCACGACGTCCAGCAGCAGATCACTGGCAGGAATTAGTGCAAGAAGCGGAAACAAAACCGAATTTTTTCGACGGGGGATTCTGCGAGGATGACGTAACAACAGCTGACATTCGCGTTACGTCGTGGTGCGTGCGAATAACAAGAAGTAAGTAATAATGACAAGAAAAGGAATGTACTAGACGCAATGGAGCAAAACTGATGTAACAATTAGGTACGATGGGGCATCATATGGCTCTTGCACTACACTTTGCAAAACCTAATGAACAATGATGCCGTGTACTGTCCCGTAGCAGATTTGGTAACTTATGGAACTCGAAATTCGCAAAGTGCAAATTCGAATGGCGGAAAACGTCGATGTTGAGATAGCAGCCATGTGCCCAGTTTTCGATATCAAAAGCTAAGGATATGTAAGCATGCATGTAATTTGCAGCTTAGATTCATCTCTTCCTGATAATTCTTTATATGTTTTCGATATCAAAAGCTAAGGATATGTATGTAATTTGCAGCTTAGATTCATCTCTTCCTGATAATTCTTTATATGTTTTCGATATCAAAAGTTAAGGATATGCAAGCATGCATGTAATTTCCATCTTAGATTCATCTCTTCCTAGTAATTCTTTGTTTTCGATATCAAAAGTTAAGCATATGGAAAGTGCATCTAATTTCCATCTTAGATTCATCTCTTCCTAGTAATTCTTTGTTTTCGATATCAAAAGTTAAGCATATGGAAAGTGCATCTAATTTGCATCTTGGATTCATCTCTTCCTGGTAATTCTTTATAGGTTTTCGATATCAAAAGTTAAGCATATGAAAAGTGCATCTAATTTGCATCTTAGATTCATCTCTTCCTGGTAATTCTTTATATGTTTTCGATATCAAAAGTTAAGTATATGGAAAGTTAGATATACAAGCATGCATCTAATTTGCATCTTAGATTCATCTCTTCCTATTAATCCCATAATGTATAATATGCACTTCCCTTTCCTGGATCCCAGAGACCATAAATGTTTTATTCAACAATGTCATATTTTTTTACATAATTTCTCCGGACACGCTCTCATATTTAAGGGCCTAGATTATTTCGCCTTTTCCTAGACTGATATAGTCAACGTGAATTAATATATGGTTATATCTCCATGGACCAGCACCAATAAAGGAATTATAATGTGGAACGCACCTTAATATGTTGTCCTTGTGGTAATATGAACATATTTTGAACAAAGTGGCGTACTTCTAAAACTTGTGTATATCTAAAATTTCGAGTAAGTGCTACTCACTGACAGCGTAAAACATCTATAAATGTTCTTCAATTTTCTTTACTAGATCGTACAGCGTTCTGGAAATAAAAGGGAGACCGAGAAACCAAACGAACCAGTTACTAAATGTGTGAATGAGCGGACTTTTCCTTAGCTATCAGACACTTTTCCTCCGTATTTTATCGTTATTTTTTCAATTTTCCAAACTAACCATCACTAACCCAACCCGTCATCCTCTGTGATTGACCGCCGCAACAGCAATGAATCACGATGTTCAATCTACCGCTACAATTAGCAACTTTCCGCTTCTCTCACGCTACGACCCAATTAGCTGTTGAACGAGCGAGCCCCTCCCTGCTTGCTCGTTCGCTGGAGTACACGGCGGCGCAGGTGTTGCAGCTCGTAATTGGATCAACGAATTTTGAGTGTGCAGCCCAGGTGTCCGTCTCTGCGATGGTTTTAACATTTCAACGCGAATTTGGCGAGATATTTCGAGCTTGTGGTTTGGGCTGACCTAGTGACCGCCGACTCTTCCTCACGTTCGCACGCCCACGAGCGGTCTTCCATGCGTGGAATATATTATTCTATACGTATATATTTGCACGCGGAATCGGTCTCTGCCTCTCTGTTGCTGTCTCAGGTTTTGTCTTTGTCTTTTTTTTTCTCTTTCTCTCTATCTTTATCTTTATCTTTATCTCTCTCTCTCTATCTATCTTCATCTCTCTCTCTCTCTTTGTGCCTATGTGTATGTGTGTGTGAACATACATACACACATATCTATATATATCATATATAAATGAACACACACACACACACACACACACACACACACACACACACACACACACACACACACACACACACCACACGCACCCACACTCACAAACCCCACACTCCACCCCCCCCCCACACACACACACACACCATACACACACACACACACACACACACACACACACCACACCACACACCACACACCACACACACACAACACACACACACACACACACACACACACACATACACACACACACACACACACACACACACACACACACACACACACACACACACACACACATAATACATTTTCTTAGCTCCCATACACACAGGAGAGAAGTAGGTCGCGGTGCCGAACAGCGAACACACCGCGTTGCAGAGTGAGGTTTGCAGGCGAGATTGGGATCTAAAGAAAAAAGTATTTGTGAAGTTGAATTTCTCTGTTC